CCAAATTCATAAAAAAAAAAAATAAATACATTTTACATGTGACTTTACTTGTTAGAAATACCATATATATTTTATACATATGTATAGTAAAGAAAATCTAATTCTATATAATTTTGTTGGTACTTTAATGTATTTTACATTTCTTTTAGAACAACATGATCAATCCACATTTCATTGTATTTCTTAAGCTAACACCGTTCACTTTAGCGAGCATTCACAGCATTATTGTTGTCTACAACTTACGATTCTAACACTGTTTACGCTTCAACAATATAGTCAAGAACTGCTCAACCCGTATGCGCTGCAGCTTTTTAGGCATAGTTTCTCTTTGTATCTCTTTAATCAGTTAATCTGATAAAGCAAAACTTAAATATCTGGCGGATATTTGTATAAATGCGGGCCACGCGGTGCGACGTGCATGGCCCAGCGGACGAGAAATTATGGAAAAATTCGTGCGCACTCGGCGAAGGTTCAATGCGAAATGAACGCTAGAAATGGCACTGGAGCTGGAGCTGAACTTCGCAGCTGAAGTCGCCGTTGGCGCCGCAGTTGCTGCTGCTGACGCTGACGTTGCCGTTGCCGTTGCCGCTCTGATGTTTGACTGCCATATGGAATAATGCTTGCCACCGAAATTTTGTGTTGGTGCCGCAAAGGCGCAGCCATGAAGGAATCGATGACGAAGCGGCGACACGCAAACCGCCTTCTTCAATTTGGTAAGTGTCGTTGTTCTCTTTGTTGTTGTTCTCTTTGTTGTTGCTCTCTTTGTTGTTGTTGGTGTTGTTGTCCGCAGTAAGGTCAGTTTACGTATGAGTAATCATCGCAAGAGATACAAATCTAACTTTGGTCAATTTCATTTTAGTGGTAGTCACTATTATTACATAACTTTATCATGGCCTTCAAAGAGCACCAAACAACAAAAACCAAGAACTATAGACATATGTTTGAAACTATGTGAAAAACAAACATCAAATAATACCCTGTACTATTCAAAGGATCTGGTGAGGCGTTGAAATTAGTTGAAATTATGAGAATCTCAAAGAAAGGCTTTAAAACAAGAAGAAAAGAGAGTAAGAAATGAAGTGAAGACCTAATAGAAACATAGGTCAAGCAATTCGAAGAGGAAGAGAGAGGGATGGAAGAGTGAGCGATAGAGAGAGGGCGAAAGGAATTATAAAATTAGAGCATTAAGATAATCGAAAGGCAAAGAAAAAACAAGACAAATTATATTTTAGGTAAGTATTATTGAATAATATAAAAGTGGATTAGAAGATCCTTCTACAACGAACATTGAAAAAATATATTTTTAAATATAATATAGACTACTGGTAACTGGCCATCAGAAACTGTTACAGGGTATGCGAAAATTAACAAACTGACAACAAAATCGAGCGCTGACCATCCCCAATAATGACTGCTGCCGCCCTGCTACTAACCATGCTTATCATCAACCCCAACGTTAACAACAACTACAATATTAATAACAACAAGGACAAAATTCAAGGCAGTGCATTGTCCTCAACCAGGAAACAAATGAGAGCCTGGCAACCGCTGGAAGTGGAAGAAACAACTACAAAAAAGCCGTGTCTATTTTTAGCACCAAAATCTAAATTGCTTTCGTACAAATCACTAAGCTGAGCCGCCTGGAAGGAGGCAGTTATGCCACCATGAACATAACCAAATATACACGTATATGTATGTACATACACATATACATACATGCATATGTACACATCTATGTATATACATACATGTATTCAATTCCATGTTTGCTGCGGGTCAAGCGTGACGCATTCAGGCAAATTAATACAAATGCAAATTGCATTAAACAATAGTTAGCTTTCAGATTATTTTCATTTAATTCGCAGTGTTCCCACAGCTAATTATATAAAAACGAACTTAAAAAGGCAAAGGCAACTACATAAATTGGCAACACTGTTTGCCAGTTATAAACTCCAACTGTAAACAGGCGTAAATGATGTTGACATAAAAGAGCGAAGAGCAAAGAGCATGGCGAACATGTCGCCAGTCAGACTGGGCAACGGCTGGCACAAATGTAGTGGATGGGAGGGAGAAGATAGCAAGGCGATTCGGTCTGCGGAGTGAAGCGTTCAGCTACAAAGGACGCGACACAGGAAATTGCAGCGTTCGCCGATGACGAAAACAAAAATACCGACTAGAATAACGGTGATGATGTTAATGGCGGACACATACACACATATATACATATATATATGGACATACATATATACGCGCTGTGTGTATATGTACAAAGGCAGCGGGCGAGCGGGCAAATTAATTAATAATAATGTAAGCTGTCAGCCGGAGAAAAACAGAGATGGAGCGAGAGAGAGTAAAAGAGAAGCCTGCTGTTAAGCCTTTAAAGTGTGTTAACCTAGCAGCTGTTCTTTTTTTTTTTAATATTTGTGTTTTTGGTCAGCTGCTGACATTTGTGTTTTATTGCCTGGGCAAAAAAAAAAAAAAAAATTAAAAACGCAGAAGCGTGTTTGACTTTTCGTTTCAAGTTTATATCTGGTCAGCTGCGTCAAGGTCCTTGCGGCACGCAATATTACTATTTAGTGTAGTCCTTGTCCAAACAAACATAAAAAGCTTATGCATGTGTGGCTAGACAGCAGTGTGAAAGGAAACACGGAAGAATTCATAAATTTAATTAATTGTGCCATGTTGAAATGCTTTTGTAAATTGAACAGCTTGATATTTTGTTTACGCAGAGAGTGAGCGAGAGAGAGAGCAGACCAAAGAAAAGGCCAGCATTCAGCAACAGAGCGAACATTTTGAAGAGAGTGAGAACGATAAAGCACAGTGGCAACAATTCCCCACAGCTCGATACAAACACATACGTACAGCGGTGGTGGGTTTGCCGCACAGTCAGCTGTTCGTGACAGTCACATGACAGCTATTCGATCGATATTTTCATTTTCTCACGGGTTTTACTGCCCAAATAACCAAAACAACGAATAATTTGCTAACATATTTTATATCATACAACGAATGCCAAAGCCCGCCAGTTCATTATAATGGCACACGTATTATGCATCCGAGGGCATGGAGGAAAGCTACAGTTTTTCAGGGTCATTTTATTTGCGCACATATACACAATCAAATTTGATTTTGCCTTAGCTGAAAATCGAATATTGGGCACTTCCAGAGCTTGCTAAACTCCCATTACACTGTGCAACATTTGATAACAGGTCAGCAGACCTGTTACAACTTTTTTTCATGCGCGCAGTTTGCTGCGTTGTCGCTTTGCACACGCACTAAATTGAGTTACACTTACTTTTAAAGCGGCACTAATACACGTCGAAGTCGTTGTTGATTATTAAACACACAGTTTTTATTGTGCGCTGAAATTGTTTTTAATAAAAATCAAGCAACACAACCGCACTTCCCACAATGTACGTACGAAACGGAGCACAAGACTCTGGTAGAAACTCAACACAAAAATGACAATTCACAATTTCGCATAAGATTCACGTGATAAGTGGCGATGACGATATATGTGCATATATCGGTTGAAGCTAGGGTGCACACACTGTCTACGAAACAGCTGTTCACTGCGACAGTTCGTGTGTACACACTGCCTTTGTCGGTCTCTATGTAGGCGCCCATAAACTACGTGCCTAATTATTAAAAGTTTAGTTTAGTTAATCCTATTATTTGGCACAATTAAGTTGGCACTAGCATACCAAAATTTGTAAGTGAATGTAAATATTAAATATCTAGTGTACACAGCTAAGGGACATTTTGTATATCTCAGTTATGAATTCCGAACAGAATTTCTGACAATTTAAAGCCTTAAAAATTTAGAAAAAAATTAAAAGAGACTATGTGGGTGTTTGTTATTAAACAATAGTAAGTTTAAATATAAGCAAAGGCAATCAATGACGATCTTTGTTATATTTATATTTAAAAGCTAATTTCGGTTTTAGTTTGTTTGCCATCTTTTGTGACATTTCAAATTCATTTCATTTGTTTCATAATACAATTACATTTCACATAACAAAAAGCACACGTGCTTCCTCTATGTACATAAGTACATACCTTAGCCTTAGTAAGTGCAAAACCTTTAGCCCGTAGCCACAAAGGTGCAAAAACAAAAAAGTTAACGATGACTCAAGCCTTTCGGTAGAATGAAAAAAGCAAGCGAATGATTTGTGTACACAAACGGATGCGCAACAATTCCCAAATTCCATTCCCCTTCCAGTGAGTAGCACTTTCCAATTAGACTGTTTACACTCATCTCCAGTGGCGGTTGCTAAAAATAAACCAAGCCAATTGTATGCGGCTCTTCCTCATTGCGTAAACAGCACAACGTTTGCATTGCATTTCCATAACATTGAACTCTAACACCGGCACTTAATTGAAATGGAACGTACATACAACAATTGTCGTACCATATGCCTTTATCCATTAACCAACAGTCAACGGCTTTCATCAAGTTGTGGCTTATCGCCGCCGGACAATAGCTTTGCCAATTGTTCCGGCACCGCCTTTGATCTTATCTCAACTCAGTTCGTAGTCCAATTACTCTTAGTAACCATGCAATATATTAGCTATTCCAGGGTATTCAGGTAGTGCGGTATTACGCTTCAGAGAGCGAAGCAGATGGCATTGGCTTACAGAGCTTATTCTCCGCTTTTCGCTCTGCGCATTTGTTTGCTGCCAACGTCGCTGCCACTGTCGACGTTAACGTATTTCCAACGATCAGTCGCTGTTGCTGCTGCCGCTGTTTCTGCTCTTCTTGGCGCTGTTCAGTCTGCAAAGAGATTCGCTCGAGTGTGCAACGCGCCGCGCACGTAAACAACAAAGTTTCGGCAAGAAAATAAAACGTTAAAAGTGAAAACAGACGAAAGAGAAAAAATCAAAACTATTTCAGTTTTCGAATATTTGTGGCAGGTGCTAACAGTAACGGTAAATTTGACACAATTCGGTGCTCATTATACAATATTAACCGTTAGAGAGCGACCCACATTGATTCCCAATCAGTCAGTAAATGCAACTTGACCCAGTCCCAAAAAAAGGAGAAACAGGAGACAAGAGAATATGAACATTTGAATTTTTGTGTTATTTTAGCACATATAATCCAGACTTTTCGGGTGCTAACTAATATTTAGCAGGAATTTTTGAATATACATAAATCTAAATATACATATGTATATTCTTATTGGATGTATTATTTTATTTATTTTTTATTATTACAATATTTACCAACCTAAATTAGATTGCGGTTGTTATATGAATCCGGTTTTTAAATTGCTTCTTTGTTAGTTTCTATATATATGAGGAATGATTCTACAAATATATCAGATATAATATAATATATTTATGTACATACCAGTATATGTAAAGGTAATCAGATATAAAATGTGAATTTATCAATACTTTTTTATTCCACACTAGAAAGTATTCCTAATTTTAAAGGATATTAAAAACTCTCATATATATTCAATTTCTTTTTTTTTATACCTAACTAATTTATATAATACATCAAATATCTCTGTAATAAAATACCCCCAAATTTAGTGATATCGTTCGTTGAAGACAATAAACTTCTCTAATCTACATCGTCTACAATTAATATGAACTCAACACATTTTAACATAATATAAATGTTAGGGTTGGGCTAGTTTAGTTTATTTGTTGTTGCTGCATCTGCTTCTGCTGCTGTCTCTGGCTCTGCCGCTCTTGCTGTTGGCTGAGTTCTCTTTAAAATAAGGTTTGACTGCTTGGAGAAAGTTTCTTCGCCGTGAATTTTAGTGCTTCTGATGTTGTTGTTATTTATTTTATTTTATTTTTTTGTTGCTGCTAGTTTTAGTTTCTTTAGGTATAATGCTCGTCTTTACCTTCGCCCTCTCTCACTCGCACTCACACGTTTGCGTGTCTGAAAAGCTCAACGCAGCGAAAACGAAATCGGAACCAATGGGCTCCATGGTCGCAGCAACGCCGCAGTCAACGTCGCTGCGCTGCGTTGCGTTGCTGTTTGCTCTTGCTCTTGCCGCACACGGCCAGAGCAGGTCGAGCGTGCAACAGGTGGCGCTCATGTGCGGTGACGGTTGTTGTTGACTTTACGCGTTTTACCCCAGCCCAAGCAATTTTTTCAGGTATTACAAGCAATATGCATAACTTAAAGACGATTTCTGATTTTCTGATTGCGCAGAATATCAAGAGGTGAAAGTTGTGATGGGCACAGCGTGGCATTTACAGCAAAGTATACAAGTATAACACCTAACTTGGATCTGTCTCGTTACAGCGCTCAGGACTACAAAGGACTCCCTTCCAGCAGCCAACGACCAATTAGAAATTTAAATAAGCCATGTCAAGCAATTGGCCTGAAAATGTTGGAATACGAGCCATTGAAGTGCTCTTCCCCTCGCAATATGTGGACCAAACGGAATTGGAGCAGTTCGATGGCGCCTCCGCTGGCAAGTACACAATCGGTCTGGGCCAGGCGAAGATGGGCTTCTGTTCGGATCGCGAGGATGTCAACTCACTGTGCTTAACGGTTGTCACGCGCCTACTGGAACGCCATCGTATCAAGCACACGGACATTGGAAGGCTGGAAGTGGGCACCGAAACAATAGTCGACAAATCGAAATCGGTGAAATCGGTGCTAATGCAGCTATTTGCCACGAGCGGCAACACCGATATCGAAGGTATCGATACCACAAATGCTTGCTACGGCGGCACTGCAGCACTCTTTAATGCCTTAAATTGGATCGAATCGTCCAGTTGGGATGGACGCTACGCGCTTGCCGTATGCGCCGACATTGCCGTCTATGCCAAGGGCGCAGCCCGACCCACAGGCGGCGCCGGCGCCATCGCCATGTTAGTGGGACCAAATGCGCCACTGATCATCGAGCGTGGCCTCCGCGCCACCCATATGGAGCATGCCTATGACTTCTACAAGCCCGACCTGAGCTCCGAGTACCCGACAGTCGACGGCAAACTTTCCATACAGTGTTACCTCTCGGCCCTGGACACTTGCTATCGGCTCTATCGCAAGAAGTTCGAGAAGCAGCACCCTCAGCAACAGCCACTGGGTCTGCAAACCTTCGATGCGATGATCTTCCACACGCCTTTCTGTAAATTGGTGCAGAAGTCTGTGGGTCGTCTGTGTTTCAATGACTTTTTGCTCAGCACCGAGGCGGAGCGCGCTCAAAAGTTTCCCGGTCTGGAACGCTTCAACGACGCCACACTCGAAGGCAGCTACTTCGACCGGGATGTGGAGAAGGCGTTCCTCACTCAGTCGGCGGAGCTGTTCGCCGCAAAGACCAAGAAGTCCTTGCTGCTGGCCAACCAGGTGGGCAATATGTACACGCCGAGCGTCTACTCAGGTCTGGTCTCGCTGCTGATCAGCGAGCCGGCGGCTCAGTTGGTGGGCAAGCGCATTGGCGTCTTCTCCTATGGCTCCGGCCTGGCTGCCTCGATGTACTCCATTAAAGTGACTGAAGATGCGGCCACGTTCGAGAAGTTTGTCTCGCAGCTGGATTACGTATTGCCGCTGCTGAACTCCAGAGAGAAGGTGGCTCCGGAAAAGTTCTCCGAGCTGATGGAGGTGAGGGAGAAGAATAATCACGCAGCGCCTTACACGCCAACGGGCAGCATCAGTGCTCTTTTCCCGGGCACCTATTACCTTAAGGATGTGGATGCACTACATCGGCGCAGCTATGAGCGCACGCCCATCAACAATCTAACCAATGGAGTGCATTAGCCAAAGGAGCAGGAGCAGCAGCAGCAGCAACTGAAGCCTAACTTGACAATAATCCTCAACTACTGTTTAATTCTAGCTGCTATATACAAACTATATACATCTATATAAATCGGTTGTACATTTGGATTTCTTTCATTAATATTTAGCTACTTATTTCTCTTTCGGTGAATACGGTCGTATCTATCTAATGAAATATTAATTAATATTAATTTTATGGCCTGGCTTATAATATTTTCACAAAGTCCGCTCCTATTTATATCATGCTCGAACTTCTATTCTATTATCTTTATATCGATTTGCATCAAAATGCTTAAAACAAACACACAAAATGTACACTAAAAAAAAATTAAATACATTTCAAATCGTATTTATACAAATTTTATGCATAGACAAAAGCATATTCTAAAGAATTTGTAAAGTGCAAATAAACAACAAATTCAATACAATCAATTTGTTTTTACTCATCTTAAAAATGTAATTGTAAAGGAATTATATTTGTTTCGTAAGGATATGTGGATATAGCTGATCCTGATCTGCAGGTTAGACCCTGCGTAGCTCCTCAAAGCGCCGTAAATTTGTAGAAGTTGACGCCTACAATTAATTAGAAACCAATTAGAATTATCTTCGATTAATAAATAGAAGAAGGAATTGTTTAAGCGGAAAGAAAGTCGTATAAGAGTTTTGAAAAGAAACTGCAGATTTTTAAATACAAGTGACACTGAATAAGAATATACACTCTTATACGACTTGTTTGTAAAGGTTGTGTAATAGAAGAAGCAGACTTGTGGGAAAAACGTACAGTATAAGAGAGAGCGTTAAACAATACGAGTTTATAAGAGACAATACAATTCACGGAGTCTGTTCTTTCACTAAAAACCCTATACAATCTACTTTACTCTGTTTTCACTGTATATAGAGTATAAATAAACATTCAAATAAATACCGTTAGGAATAACGCGTGTTTTGAATTCTCTCTCCTTACGAAAGACGCCCAAATTGTTATTCTTATCAAACAAATCCTGAAAGCAAGAGGAGCAAATAAATAAAACTTAAAGCATTTAAAATGCAGCAAGATTTACCTGGACGATGTAGCCAATATTATCATTAAATAGCGAGAGCTAGAGATAGAACAATATGGAATATATAAACATAGTTCATTAAATTTCACGTCATTACCTCCTTAAACGTAAATGATATGGGAAAAGGAGATCCGTCCACGCGGCGACTAACAAATGCTATAGCATAAGAGTATTCTCCATTGATTTTAGGTTCGATTGGTCGACGCCAGACCTGCAGAAGAGAATGAAATTACAAACTTGAGTAATCACAAGTATATGAATAAATAAATCATAGTTACCTCAATATTTTGCTTCATAAGCAATCGTTTACCCTGTATGCCCAAAGGATCCTGATTGACAGCAATCACATCACTACATGATAATATATATATACAGATAGATTTATAATGATGTATGTGATATATAAGTCGACCAACCGATTCTGTAATATCTCCTTAATTTCTGGTCGCACCTTGGCCAAGTCATTGGACATTATTAAAGGCGCCGCCAGCACAGCCCAAATGGCCATTTGCACTTTGCTCTGATCATAGCTAAGGCCATAGTTGCCTAAAATCAACATATCTGGATCGTTCCAATGCCCTGGTCCGGCGTGTGGCTGCATGCTATCCTGATTTTTGGCAAAGTAATCAGTTATAGCCATAACAGACTGAAATGAATCCTGGACATCAGCCCAGTTTCGCCAGAGATTGCAATGGCGCTTCAATGACTCAAAGTGAGGCTGTTCACTTCCCGATTGATAGGCAGGCCTGCACTTTAACTTGATTAACATCCGAAATGTCCATGGGTATTTCTGCAGAAAAGTCTACTTTTTGTAGCTTGAAGACGCACCCATTAAGGTGCTAAATATAATTGGTTAATTTGCAAGATGATTACAAAAAGCCAAATAGTTTCCACGCTACAAAAAGGATACTTTTCTGGATAAATGCCCATATACCAACAAAATATAGTGTTTACCAGCTGCATGAATAGACCATCGGTCTGCCTGTTTCATTTAGCAGTCGTCCGAATTCTGGATAGCCTGCTGCCATGTCGCTAACATTCGCATTGCAGCCATCCAGCTTCACATAGTCCACATCCCACTTAGCAAAGGTTTCAGCATCGAGTGCCATGTGGTCGATCACACCTGGGTAGCCAGCACAGGTCTTAGTGCCAAAGTCCTGATACAGCCCAAACTTGAGTCCTTTGTCGTGTATCTACAATTATAGTGAGACTAGTTGGACAAGGCTACAGTTGGATTGCTTTARCATACATGATCAGCCAGAACGTTGAGGCCTCTGGGAAAACGTTTCCGATCTGGTACCAGCTTGTTTGTCATGTTATCCCGATTCCACTCCAGCCAGCAATCRTCTATGATAACATATTCATAGCCCACATCAGCATAGCCTTCCGAGACAAGTAGATCGGCACTGCGTCTGAATAATTGCTCGCTGTAAGGAGATTAGGAGAGCTTCTTATGAAAGTACTCAAATTCATTGATTGATAGTTTACCTTATGCACTCATCTGGATACGTATCACAATCGGTGATGCATCGAAAGCGCTGCCAAGACATCCAACCCATGGGTGGCCTGCAGTGGATTAGACACTTAAATCTACGTCCAAATCCAAATCAAATGCGACTTACGTTAAAGCCAGTCCATTATCCAGTGCAGAGCCAGCGCGGAGCAACTGCATCAACAGCAGCAGCAGCAATGGAACGTTCTTCATGCCAAACATACTTAGATGTCATCGTTCCAAGCCCACAATAGCGGTTTTATATAGGTATCCATCCTTAGATAACTGTCGTTGGCCAAACTACGTGAGCAAATAAATCAACTTGGTTGACAAGCGATAATTGTTAACTATAATTGAAAAGCATTCCAATACATAATTTGCTATACCAATCAGTGTATTACCTAAAAACAGAATAAATTATACAAATATGCTACAGTGTAATACAAATTCAATTACCACAACTAAAACATTTTTGAAATCCAAGTAAATTACTCAATTTGTCGCGCAATACTCTTTAGCATGCGCCACATACAAATGCATAGACAAATAACTGTTTAAATCATCATGTCTGCTGACTTCCAATGGACTCTCGAGTGCTTTTAATTAAAAAAAGAAAATAAAAACTTTTTAAATATTTTTTTACCGAACACATTGTTATACATATATTATCTTTTTAAATTCAGCTTAATGTAAGACGATTTTCGCGGGCTGTTTAATTTACGCTTGCGATTCCAGCTGAGGTTGTTATTAAAAAATACCAAAACGTCTGCTATGTGCATTGCAGCCACACCGTTATCGATAAGTTGTGAAATATCGCTGCGGTTTACGTATGCATCGTGTGTAAAATTAAATTCATTTTTATACTATTTTTTTTGTATATTTGTTATAACATATAATGGCATTCCAACTGCCTGCAACAACAACAACAGCCAGCGCTCCGAGCTTYTCGTTTGGGCTTAGCACTGCAACGCCAGCAACTGCCGGCGCCGCAGTTCCCGCCAAACCCACATTTGGCTTTGCTGCACCAGCAGCTGCTTCAAATGTTGGCGGTGGCGATGCTGATAGTGGCAAGACGGCGGCAGCGCCTCTACAATTTGGCGGCTTTGGCTTGACGGGAACACAAGCTGCTCCAACTTTATCGAATCCACTGACGGGCTTGGGTGCCGGGCTGGGCGGCACTGCTGCTGCTGCTCCCGCAGCCGGGGCGGCCACAGCTCCACCCGCTACTACAGCGGCTCCAACTTTTGGATTCCTTTCGCAACCAGCAGGTGCAGCAGCCACAGCAACCACAACAGCAGCTGCAGCAGCGACAACCACAGCAAATCCACTTGGTGGTGGTGGCCTAACCYTGGGTCTAGGAACTGCACCGAAAACTACATCGGCTGTAGCACCCACAGCTACTTCTGTTGCTCAACTGGGTAGTACAGCACCACTTGGAGCTGCGGCTACCACTGCTGCTTCTGCGCCAGCCGCAGCAACTGGCAGCACCTTTGCCAACCTCTCCACTGCAACAAAGACCACTGACTCAGCCACCGTTGCGAATGCTACGCAGTTGACGTACCATCAGCTGGAGGAGCACATTAACAAATGGACTTTGGAATTCGAGGAGCAGGAGAAAGTCTTCACAGAGCAGGCGACGCAAATAAATGCCTGGGACAAGCTGCTCATTGGCAACAACCAGAAGATCATTGAGCTAAACGATGCAGTGCAAAAGGTGAAGAACGACCAGCAGGTACTCGACCAGGAGCTAGAGTTCATAGCCACGCAGCACAAAGAGCTGGAGGAGAGTCTGGGTCCGTTAGAGAAAGAGTTCACCAATTTGCCACGCGTCGATCAGGAGCGCAGTCAAACCTATCTGATGGTCGAGAATCTGGATACGCAGTTGAAGCAAATGTCCGAGGATCTGAAAGAGGTGATCGACAATCTCAACGAGGCGAACAAGGGACAGGATCACACAGATCCCATTATACAGATTGGCAAGATATTGAACGCACACATGAATTCACTCCAATGGATCGAGACACAGTCGTCGCACATATGCAAGAAACTGGATGATATCGGAAAAATCCATGAGACGCAAAAGCGAGACATCTTCAGGGCTCCCTATTGAAAGATATATCATTTTTAAATAAATGTAAAAATTAATATTAAACTATGTTTGGTATGGAACAATAGGGGTTAAAGAAAATGTTCAAAAGATTTATAATCATTCTTGAAAATTAAGAGCAAATCTTTATCAGTTATCATTTGTTTAAATTAAAGAACAGATCATTATCAAATTATCATAATTTTATTATACAAAAAACGTATTGTAAATTTCTGAATATATATCCCCTGCATATATATTCATTCCATATATGTTCACTTCGTATATCATCATATATCCACTCCAGATATATCCCATCCACTCAATAGTTTTTGAAATGCTTAAGTCTAAACAAGGGCGCCCTTTTGCCCCTGCTGCCAAAAGCCAAGTAGCCGCTATTTGGCGAAAAGGCTATCCTTTTGATGCAACCCAAGGAGTCAGTTTGCTCAGGGAAGTTGGCATAGACCGTAGCGCTGGGGAAATGTGCTAGCTTCACGGCGTTCGGCACCTTTACTGAGCACATGGCCAGCAGCTCGGACGTGTGATTGAACTGAAGATCCGTAATGGCCGTGCGCAGATTCATGAAGCATTTCTCGGGCTGCGGCGTCGTCGTCTTATAGATGCTCTCGTAGTCATAGATATTGACTACGCCCTCGTTGCTGCCCGTCGCCAAGAGACGTTGACTGGGGGACAGCTGTAACGAACTGCCATTAACGCAGCCATCATCAATGAAACTGTGCTCAATGCAATTCTGTCGCAGGGACAACACATTCACATTGCAGCCGGAGCTGCTACAGAGCAGTCGCTGTGAGTCCGCCGTGAAGCACATGTCACGCACAAGACCTTCCTGCTTGAAGCTGTGGATCAGCTCGTTTGTGTTACTGGTCAGCAAGTGGATGGCGCCGAATTTGCCACCTGTGGCAATGTATTTCCCACACGGCGACACCTCGAAGTGAGTTAAGTAATTCAACACGGAAGGCAGCCTCAACTTAGACTCCTTAGCCTCCAGCAGATCGTAGGCATAGTAGAAGGGCCTCAGCGAGCCAAAGAACGCCTTTGTGCCGCACGGAGCCATGCGTGCACAGGTGAGTGGAAATTTTTTGAAGCGGATGCTGTGCAGCTTCTCGTTCTTCTGGCCATCTACGCAATACAGATTCGCCACACAGCTCTCTCCAGAGACCAAGGCAACAGTGCTGGTCGGATGGAATTGGATGCTCGTGATAACGCCTTCGCTGTAGGTGGCACGATTCAAATCTCGCGTCCGTTTGAATGGCAACGTTTTTGCCGGAAGCTCATTTGACCTGGCTCTGCGATTGATGAAGCCCACGGTTTTAAGCAGCGGCTCCTCCTCTGAGTCGGAATCATCGCTATTCTTTTGCCTCCGCTCAAGAGATGCCCATTTCGGTTGACGGATGACGCGTTGAAAGCGCGCTGTTAGATATTCTTTGTATGATTTGTCCTTGCGCAAGTGCGTCAGTGGACCAGTGTGTCGAGTGGGTCGCTTCACCTCGCCCACCTCAATATCCTCGTCATCAGAGTCTATCCATGCTGGCTTCGGTTTCTTTGCAGCCTCTGCTGCTTCCTCCTTATCCTCATCATCAGCTGCTGATTTGCTCACACTATCAAGTTTTATGCGTTTCTTGCCCACTGATTTGGCCAAGTTTGTTAGAAACGCTTGCCTATCGCCGAATATCAATTTTTCAGAGGGCACCTCCACATAGGTCGCCTCCTCTCTCTTTGTTTTGGACGAACGACTGTTCTGCGCTTTTTCTTCGTGCTTGGCATATATGGCCATCAGATCTTTCAAGTCCTCCAATCCATCACTAGACTCATCGTCACTCATTTTGTCTAGATATATATGTTACTTTACTATTGCGATTCGCGTTTAATGCAAATTGTGCCACACAGAAATATTTTTAGCCGCACGTGTGTTTTTAACCAGGGCTGGCTTAATTGAATAAATAAATATCGATCGCGTGTGAATTATGATGGCACACATGCAGTTATATTTATCGCTGTGCAAAGAAATTATCGGCACACTTGACGAAATTATCGAAATTAAAGAGTATATTTAAAAAGTATAACCACTAACCACAGAACACATAGACCGTGTTCTGTGGTTAGTGGTATAACTTTAGTTTCAATTTAAATAACTGCAGGTATTTTTTTTATATTTATAACACACAATGCAATTGCTTTTATCGACATTCAAAAGTACGTTATCGTTAATTGCTGATAGACATCTATTAGTTAACATATTCAAACAAAGGTATCTCTGCTGTTTCAGCTCTAGAAATATTGTTCTTGCTGTGAACGGGACTTGCGGGCTTAGTAGCACGACGTTGGTAGCGTGCTCGTAAATATAATGTGTGAATAAAGCGGAGAAGCTTAATTATGTCCAGTAAAATATTAAAGATTATGACGTAGCCCATTTGCACCAGACCCATGACACTAATTCCCACAAACAAGGCCAAAGCACCGCCAAAGGACACTGCAGGAATACATAAATATTTCGATGTAAAAACTGAGCTAGTAAATTATTTAGCTTACCTATAAGATCCTCAAAGCTAAAGACGACATCGCGTCGAAAGCGTACTTTGGGTGGTATTAGATCCCAGCGAAAGCTAGATGTTGCCATGTCGATGCCCGCCGTGTCCTCATTGCCCTTCATGCCCCACGAGCTTTTCTTGACCGTCTGCATGGTATATTCAATTTCAGTGCAAGTCGAGGGACATTTACAAATGTGCAATGCCCAAATGGGCCACTTAAAATCCAAAAGACATTCAAATCCAGCTGGATTACAAGTGGGTCCCTGGACAAAGGGATAGAAGAAGGGCACACAATTGCACATTTCCAATGCCATGATGGCACGACAGCGCGCCAGGCATAAGGATTTGCTGTAGACCTAAAGCAAACACAGAATTGGCGAAGGCATGAAAAACAGATTGATGTTTTGACATGCCTTAAGATTGGAGGTTTCCTCATCATTGAAGACGCATTTACGCTGTTCGACGCTTAGTTCACGGAGATTATTCGAAGCGCTGGTTGGGATTAAGTATACTGTAAAATATATGCTGTATATATTATACAATGGGTATCTCTTACACCGTCTCCAACACCTTAAACGAAGCTGTTATTTCATCGGATTTCTGTAGTGCAATAATGTTGGCCTCCGAGGCGGATACTTCATAGGGTGAATGAACATCCAGCTGCAGAAGAAGTTCAAGTTAATTAGTCACATCTACTATATATGGATTTTGACTAACCACTCCCGTGCTTTCGTACAGATCCATGCGTATAAAGCATTGCTGCTTGCCGAATTGGCAGGTCAGAGGCTGCGGTATTTGGTCATAATCCACTTCTCTGTAAGGATCGTAGAAGAGATTACAGTTTGAATATAGATACCTCTATTCCACTCACTTCTTGCCCAACATTCTGGACATGGGTGAATTGATGGCATAGCAGCAGCCACGCTCCGTCATGACCATCTCCACATTCACTTCAAAGTCCGCATCAAAGCTGCTGATGACCTGTTCAAAGGGACGATTTATGGTCTGTATAATCTCATAGAGATCAATTTGCTCGAAGCGCTCATCACTGGCGAATTTCGCGAGCTCAGCATAGTTGCTGGCCGTGGCGTTAACAACGGCATACAAGAAGTCCATGATATAAAAGTAATCCTCATCAATGATGGACACATTCCAGACGTCCTGTATCAGCTCATTGGCCTTAAAGGAATCAATGTGATCGTAGTAGCATAAGGTGACAGCAGGCAGCGAACCATTCCAGCCACGATAATCACGATCCACCGAGATGACAGTGGGAGAATTAACATATCTAGCGATCTGCAGTTCGCTGAGCATGTAGACGGCAAAGACGCTGCCCACCAGGACAAAAAGCCAGAGCAGCCTGGCGAGAATGTCAGATATGATTAGTGAATAGATAGATATATCAGGTTAACAGGTTAACAGGATAACGAACCGTTCAGCTATATGCAGTCGACGATTCACAGTCAATCGTATGGCCAACAAATTGGTCTCGGCGCCCGCCTGTGCGGCCACATCGCGTAGGCGAGAGCTCACAGCACGAATTAGCCAAAGCAGAAGCCAGCCAAAGGCCAGCAGCCAGTTCTTGGTGAAGGCGGCGCAGCGATTCAGCTGCAGGTGCAAACGGGAACGCATTTCGACAAGAAATGAAACAGCAAAGGCCAAGCGCTCTATACTTTATTGAGTAACCATCATTTAGACAAAACCCTTTAGCGATTTATTGCCCAAATCGATTTGAACCAGGAATATAACAATAGCCAGCAAAGCGTTGATAAACTGCCAGCGGGAACAAAAGTAAAACAAATTGATTTTTATGATGTTTTTGATTGATAATGGCAGCCAGCACTTACCCCGCCCAGTGCCAGGGTGTCCAGCTCGATGCAGAGCGCCAGGGGTTGATTGTGATTGGACTGGAGCTGCAGCAGAAAGCTGTTAATCGAACGCTCCAAGCGCGCGTCGCTCGCGTCTAGCTGGTTGAGGAGCAGACGTAGCTGGCATTTCTGAAAAAGTATAAATCATATCAGTTAATGGGTTAATTGCCAACAGGAACAGCGCCCTCTCACCTGCTCTATAATACGCTCATTAACGCGCAGCACGAGCCAAATGCGAGAGCCGTGCTGCAGCAGCCACAGCGAGCGATAGCAATAGAGCACCCAGTCGCTCAGCTGGGCCAGCTCCAGCAGGCGAAAAGTATTGAAGGTCTCGTAGGAGAAGCTCAGCAATGAATTGGCAAAGTTCACGATCAAGGCAAACTCAAATCTGTCCAATAGCTTGGCCTGAATGCCATCCAGTTCGACGCTAATGAGACGCAGCTCCTCCAACTTCAGTTCAATGGCTTCTGGACGCTGCTGCAGCTCCCCCAGGCGGCGGTTGAGCTCCGCATAAAACAGGCAAAGCAAACGATGAATCAGTATATATTGCAGTAGACCGAAGTTGATCATGGCGCAGGGCAGCTGATGGGCACAGTTGCTGGCGAAGCTGAGCTTTAGATCGAAATTCAGCCAGGCGCTGTCCACCAGCGCGCAGATCGAATGAAAGACAAGCATAAGGCAGAACAGAATCATGATCTGATTCCGTAATCCTCTATAGAGCTGAGGAATCGCATCTGGGTTCACAAAGAGCTGCGCCTTGAGGCGCTCCAGTTGCAGCGAGAGACGCTTGTAGAAATCTTCGCTGCGATAAATACGCAACGAGAAGAGCGCCGTGAGTAACATATTCGCCGGATACTCGGCAAAATAGAAGAGCTTCTGTATGGTCAAAACTTGCTTGTAGAACCTCATGGTGATAAGGCGATGCAGCGTGAAGAACCAGACACAGATGAGGAGCAGCAAGGACCAAACTAGATGCGGATACTTGACCTGCTCGTTGGATGGCGAGACGCCCAGGCAGCGGGCACAAAGGAACAGCAAATAGAGCCAAGTGCTCATGCTTGAGTCAAGAGAAGAACTAAATGATACATTGATATAATGAATTCAATTAAAATCGGAAAATCATTAAGTGAGCATTGATTAATGTGCTCTTTGCAGCCCGTCAGGATGTGCTTAATGACAGCTAATTGAAAAGCGCGAAGAGCCTTCAAACTGTCAAACGAAATGCTGAAGCTCAAGCGTAAGGAACGTCGCATAGCTGCCTGGACGCAGCTCCAGTCGGGATTAGCCGGAAAGCACCCAAGGTATGCTTATCCAGAATACATCAGTCTATAATTTATTACCAGTTCCTTCTGCTCAGCAACTGGAATCTTACACAGCAGCTGCACAAATCGAATGCAGAGCAACTGCATCAGGAGCTGCGATTCCTCTTGATCATCTGCGTGATATTCGGAAGTGCACCAATTTCCGTCTTGCCCCGCTGTTCGAGTCGCTTTTACGACGTCATGCAGTATTGCTGGTTATTCCTGCTCTACATTTGGCTCTGCTTCCTCGCCTACTTGGAGCTGAATGATTCAAGTGGTATTCTGAATAATTTGGAGAGAAACTTTTATATATTTGAGTCAATTACCTACCTCATGCATATACCCTGCGTTGTGATTGTTAGCCTGAGCTGGAAGCGACGCATTGGCCAGGTGTTCGACACGATTGGCAAATTTGACTTGGCTAGTGGATACATTGTGAAGCGCAAGAAGATCCGTCGCTTCGTGCACTTTCAACTCTTCCTGTTGTTCATCTTCGTTAGCTGCGCCATACCCATTGTGTTTTTTAATAGTGATGTAACCACTTGGAAATCGATCTGCAGTTGGCACACCTACGTCGTACCCAACACCATGACTGGCTTCTCTTTTGTACTCTACTACACCTTGATGGAGGGCATCTGCCGTCGGCTGAAGCGATTGGTTAAAGCTTTGCATGCGGAGCTTCAGCGTGGGATTTCCATGCGACGAGGTGCACTCCAGGAATTGCGCTGGCAACACCGAAACCTTCTTCACTTTTATAAAGTTCTCAATCAAACCTATGGCCTCTCAATTTTGCTGCTCTACTCGAGCTCTTTGATTAATTTCAATACGAATTTGTTCCTCTTCTATAAAGCGGTTGAGAATTCTAGTAATGCACGCTGGAACTGGTGGTGTTACAATATATTATTTCTGATTATGCATACGTCCAAAATGTTTTATATTCTCTATTTTAATAACAACGTCCAGCGAGAGGTAAGGTGTTGTAAAATTGAAGCATATAAATGTTTAACTGTTCATTTCCCAGCAAACCAACTGCCTAACGTTGTTGACCACTGTTCATGGTATTAATGGAGATTTGATTGAAACCATAGATCACTTTGTATTGCAGTTGCAGGACAATGTAAGAGCGCATGTGGCCTGCGATCTTTTCGAATTGGACTACAAACTTATACCAGCGGTATTTGTACGCACATTTCAGTCAATGTTGTTTTCTATCATTTTATATATTCCAGCTGCTCATGATAACCACCAGTTTATTTATATTTCTACTCCAATACGATGTGACATTTCAAGCACTGGCTCATGCTAATGAAGAAAGCCTAAAAATATAGAGCATCGCGCGCCAAACTTATCGAAATTCTGTTGATTATTTGGCTAGTGTAGCCCTGGTTAATAAACCTAATTTTTATAAATAAAAATGAAATGTTTATTAAAAATTAAACAATTTATTCACATTTCTGTGTCATTGCTCAAATAACATAATTTTAGCATAAAATCACACTTATCGATAAGCTTTATCTTTTTCAATATCGTTTTTGATCCATCCCTGGCAAACACCTGCGCTGCGCATCTCAACATTTTTGCACATTCGCATTTTTCTTGAGCCACTTTATATTGTATACAATACAATTTTCAATAATAAATATGTGTGACGTTGCAACGGTGCAGAAAATTGCTAACTGTTTGGGCGTTGTACCTGGAGAAATACAGCTAAATGACGATCAGGTAATGGATCTGAAAGCTCAACGTGTCTGGTACAGTGGGCTTCCTATACATACATACAAATATGAGCGACATTAATCTAATTCTTATTGTCAAGGTCGTAACGCGCATTGGCGCCCAAAACAATAGGGTGACGGGCTTTGCCACCATACTAGAAAGCTTGGCGGTTGAATCCAAATCAGAGATTGCACAGAATAGTATTGCATCCCCGGAAGTGCAGGCACAGGTCTATCAATGGATTGAATTTGCAGTTCTTTATGTTGGACCCGGCTCAAAGGATAAGCATGTATCTAAGCAATTACTAGCGGACTTGAACAATCTATTTAGCAGCAAATCCTATTTGGTGGGACACTTCTTAACACTCGCCGATCTCGCAGTGTTTTATGCTATCGGTGATCTTATTGTGAGTGCTTAAAAAACATTACAAACGACACATTCTATAAGTTTTTATGTTGCTTACAGAAATCCCTGTCGCCTGTGGATAAGGAAAACTATTTAAATCTGTCTAGATGGTATGATCACTTGCAGCAACGACCCGACATACATCAAGGCGAGACTCTGCTCAATTTTACAACCATTTACCTGCACAACTGGGCGACAGGCACACACCTTTGAATTACCAAAATGAAACCGATTCAATATTTATTTCTATTAAGTACCACACACACACCAATTCATGCATATATATAGATCCATCCATATGAGTGAGTGTGACTGTATGTGTGTGATTGAATGTCAATGAGTGAAGAGCGCTGGAATCTTGTTTATCGTTATCGATAACATTTCATTTGAAAAAGAAATATATAATTACAAATTATTTGTGATTCGAAATATGTTTGTTATATGAAAAATTGATGCTCATTTTAATTATTTTCTATGCGCTGGCTGTATTTGCACTGTATAGCAGCGACTTGTGCTTCTCCAACATCAGTTTGCTGGCACCTCGCGTGGTGAGCTGAGCGAGTTGTTTAGCTCACTCGGCTCGGTGCACTTCCATAGGCCATACGTCTTGCCCACTGTGGTCTGCCATAGACGCAGCGTGCCATCCTCGGAGCCACTTGCATAGAGTTCGCCATCTGGGCTGAATTTCACTGAATGCACTGGTCCGAAGTGACCCTTGAAGGATTCTGTTATGATAGAAAAACGACAGAGTTTAGCTATGCTTATATGATTGTTTTCAAAGTGCTTACCAATTTCATTTCCTGTTATATAATCGAATTTATACATTTTAAAGTCCTCGCCGCCGCAGACAAAGACATGCTTATCCGGATGTAAACTGGCCGACGCGACATTCGTCGGCACTTTCACCTCCTTTAGCTTCTTTAGCGTATCGATTTCCCAGAAACTGATCGTCGAGCCGTGAGTTATGGTCAGCACGTGATTGTCATGCGAGATCTCCAGGCTATTGGGATTGTTTGGGAATTGTAGGCGCTGCACCTCAATGCCGGTCATGCGATCCCAGAGCCGCACGGTCTTATCATCGGCCGCTGAGATGATGCACTTGTCGTCACGGCAGAAGAGCGCTCGCTTTATCGCACCTGTATGGCCCACATAAAGCTCGGGCTCCGCCTCCGGTTGCTCCAGATTGAAGACACGCACCAGCTTTTCATTGCTGCCGGTGACAATGTTCTCGGAGCTGTTGTCGAACGCGACGCTCTTCACGATATGCTTGTGCTGGAAACTATGTATTTCGGCACCGCTGACTGCATTCCAAACCTTGCCGGTAAAATCGGCGGCGCCGGATGCGGCCAGCGTTGCATTGCGATTGAGCGCCACGCCCCAGACGGCACCCTTGTGTCCCTCGAAGGTGCCCACCCAGTCGCCGGTGTCGCCGTGACGCAGCATTGGGCTGCCATCTGCAACAACAAATCGAAATTAAAATCTAGTTTTAATTATAATCATTAAACTCATGCAAATGCATATTTATATACATATATGTGTGTGTCGGTGAGTGAGGCATCTGCGAAAATGGCAAATGTGAGAAATCGAAATCGATTCTTAATTGCGATCTCTAAATGCAATGCCTATACATGTGAGTTGTGTGTGTGTGTGTGTGTTTGCGTGAGCGGCGGAAGCTACCTTGACTCAACGGCGGCGCTCAATGCCAACGACCTGACGCAGCGGCTGCGACGCCGACAGCCGTGCACCAAGTTCACGTCACTTCCATTGCAACGTGATCGACAGACAGACACAGAAACGGAGAGGAAGAGAGAAAAAGAGAGCTTGAGGCAGGCCGTGAATACTTGCAGGGACGTAAATCTAAGCGCTTAATCAATTTTATTTTAGTTGTCGCTTTACAAGTGTAGTTGTTATCGCCTTGTTTACATGCCCTGTCTGCAAATTAAAGCAGGGTATGCAAGCTTTCAATTTTCAAAGAGAACGAAAGCCTCTACATCTATTCTCATTCATTCCAATTGGAAGAAGTTCATATCAAGAAAACCTATTAGAAACTGTTCCCACTATACATTATCATTAGGCAGGACTCTGACCCTAGTGTATGGCAGTTGGGTAGGAAACACTCAGTGGAATAATTTCTTGAATAAATAGAGTGCCAATAGTTTAACAATACTGGGTACAGAGTATCGCTCAGTTGGCAACATTCGATTGCAATTCTGACTTGTTTTTGTTTGGAACGTATTACAGCTGCACTGAATATATATGCATGTGCTTATGTATATATATAGAAGTTTCAAGGTGCTTCCTGCGAATGACAACAAATAAAGTTTTTTGAAAAGTTGCTAAACAAGGGGGAAACATTGCATTAAATGGCGATAAAAATTAACTTGAACTTGCAATGGGAAATTTGCTTTCCGCAACAATATTTTTGAAAGCACAAATACAAACAAACACACATACATACATGCCTATATCATATATGTATATAAAAGTGTGTGCTTGTAGACATTGTCAAGGTAAAGAACGTATGTTAAATATATTCAGGCATAAATATGTATGTATATACATATGTGCAGCAGGCGAACGTTTGGCAAAGGGTTTTGCTAAACTGGTTTCGTGATCATTTTTTTTTTTTTTTCATTTGGGTCAAGGTTACGGTTAGGCTAGACATAGCTTGAGCTAGCACGATGCGTTGCCTATGTGATATATACATATGTGACACATATAATTGAATACAGGTAAACTAATATATACATAATATAAGGACGCGTTTGTATACTCTATATTCAAAGGTTATAGGGTAGGTTATATTATTCAGCAGTATTTAGCAAAGGCAAAAAGCGGAAGCAACAAGTTCTAAACTAAAATCTCTTCCAGGCTAGAGATTACAATTGTAACTGGAATAGAGCACGATTAAGATTATCCTTAGGATCATCGATTAATCGCCTACTTTAACGTCTAAGCATGTAATGGGGGCCGATCCTAAATATATTTCTGGTATATGAAAAATATTACTCTGAATTGTTTACAGGGTATCGTCAAGTTGGTGCTTATGATTCATTTTTCATTGTTTACGTACCTTTGCAAGCCGATATGAGAAAATAGCCACTATCGCAGATATCACTGAAATCCAAATGCACCACGGGCCTGGTGTGTCCACTGCAGGTCAATGGAATCTGTCGCAAATTATTGGCCGCCATTCTTGATAGCTAAAATCAGCTGCGATGCTTCTTTCTGCCCCCTTCGCTTAAAAATTACTTTCTCGCTATTTTGCTGTTGTATACTAAGTTGTATACCACTCCTAATTCAATCGGTTTATAATAGTTGAGTTTAGCGTTAGTTTAGAAACTTTGTACTTCTCCTTGCTTATTGAATACTTTTTATATATGTATATTTTAATGCCGTTGCATGCTCCTAGCTGCACTACTTTCATATAATTCGTGTCCTTGGCAGCTGCACTGTGTGTGTTGTTGTCTATGTTGTTTATCGGCACTTTGTTGTTTAAAAACAAATGGAAACAAATTATTTACAAATATTTAAATATATAAGTGTTGTTTTAAATTTTGTATATTTTTTTATAAGCAAGAGGTGGAATAAAAATAATTACGCGACACGCTGTTGTTGTTGGACGATTTGGCTGCCGAATGATTGTTGCGAGAAGAATCGACGGCACAGCCAAAGTATCGATGAGTGCGCACTGCGCAAACGGCAAATATCGATAGCTGTACAGCTGAAGAATCGCTGAAAAGAGCGATTTTTTGTGCTGAGTGCGCGAAAAAAACAATTAATTATCAAATATTTAAATTTACCTCTTTTGTGTCTATAAAATTATATATATATATAAAAAAATCTTCCTTCTGTATGTAATCTACAAGCATTTCCTACTAAAGTAGTTTTCCAGAGATTTTACTGCCTTGAACTCGAGTTTTGGATTTTGTTTGTCTTATGAGGAGGCAGAATAATTTCACAGATAAATTTACACACGTTCCAAAATCATGACCGAAACAATTATCTTTTCTGATATATCACGTGTTATGGCTAAGTCAACGTTTATTTCGTATTTACTCAAATGAGCTCAGCAATTTCTTTAAGATTACAGTAAAACGATGAACTTGATTTCGCAATTACATGCATATGAAATTTCTCCCAGTCAAGCACCTTCATCAGCTATATACTTATACTAAAAATCATAATGATTGATCATAATAAAAAAAGAGAAAAAAGTGTGCCACCGATTTGCCTTGAGTTGCAGATAAGTGAATAGCTAAATCCATTTGAGAATAACAAGAAAAAAGAATACCTTGCTATCACTAAGCCATAAAAATCTATATTCATAGAGTTCTAAATTCATGTATATAAACCTTGGCAGAGTGCCGAAAATGGTATCAGTTGGTAAGAGCTGAGCCCGTCTGGTAGATGCCTAAGATGCTTTGCCTAAAGCAACAGCTTATATTTGTGCTGCTCGTCCTGGTGGGCGTTGCCCTCGGTTCAAACGATGGAGTTCATCATGTAGAAGAGCTGACTGGCAGGAGACTCTTGCAAGCACGCTTCGACACTGGCATAGCCACTGAGAAGTATACGCCGCCAGAGGAAAAAGATCCACAGTTCTGGTATGATTTGGCCTATGAGGAGCTGGAGAAGAGGTTGAAGCTGCCGCAGCCGGATGGCAAGCGGGCTAAAAACTTGATATTGTTCTTGGGCGATGGCATGTCGCTGTCCACGGTGACAGCGGCGCGCATACTCAAGGGTCAGAGAGCGGGCGGAACCGGTGAAGAGGCGTCGCTGAGCTTCGAACGGTTCCCACACACCGGTCTAAGTCGGGTGAGTTAAAGAAGAGAAACTAATATAATAAATACTCTATTTTCTCTTTCTCTCTCTCTCTTTCTCTTCTTATGCAGACCTACTGCTCCAATGCCCAAGTGCCGGACTCTGCCTGCACAGCTACGGCGTATTTGTGCGGTGTGAAGACAAACATCATTGAGATCGGCGTCAGCGCAGCGGTGAACTTTAACAACTGCACAGAAAGCCAAGATCCAGCTAATCGACTCACCTCCATTGCCGAATGGGCCCAGAATGCTGGCAAATCCACGGGCATTGTAACGACCACAACGCTCACCCATGCCAGTCCCTCGGGTGCCTATGCCAAGACAGCGAATCGCAATTGGGAATGCGATACGGATGTGGAAAGCTATGGCGTGGACTCCAAAGAATGCGTCGATATGGCCACCCAACTCGTGACCCAAGTGCCTGGACGGAATTTCGAAGTCATGTTTGGCGGTGGCATGGGCAAGTTTTTGCCAAAGACCATTAAGGATTTGCACGGCAAGCCAGGTGAGCGTTCGGATGGCGTCAATCTGCTCTCACGCTGGCAGGCGAGTCACGAGGGCGGCGTCCTCGTCAGCAATCGCAAGCAGCTGCTGAGCTTGAACGTCTCGGCCGTCTCCAGTGTCATTGGACTCTTCGAGTCCAACCTAATGAAGTTCCACTTGGAAGCCGATCCCAGCTATCAGCCCACGCTCTCCGAGCTCACGGAGGTGGCCATCAAGAAATTGAGCCAAAATGAAAACGGGTTTTTCGTCTTTATTGAAGGTGAGACTAGCTCTTATGGCTTTGCAGTTCCCTTCCAGTTCACTTGATAGCATCTCCTCTAATCAGGTGGATTGATTGACTACGGCAATCACTACACAAAGGCAGGCTATGCCCTGGACGAGGCACTGGAGTTCGAGAAGGCCATTCAGCTGGCCCGCGATATGACGAGCATTGAGGATACCCTGATCGTCGTCACATCGGATCACGGACATGCCCTGACCATAGCTGGCTATCCTGGCCGGGGCACATCCATTCTCGGACTAAACCAACACGACTCAGATGTCAATGGCATTAGGTACAGCACACTCAACTATGCCGTCGGCCCCAAGAACTACATTGATGCGAATGGCAAGCGCATGGATATGACATCGGAAATCGGAGCCGATGATTTTGTTTTCCCTGGCTATATAACCAAGGATCAGGGCGTGCATTCCGGCGACGATGTAGCCATATTCGCTTCCGGACCGCAGAGTCATCTCTTTACGGGAGTCATGCAGCAGCACACGATTCCACATCTGATGGCTTATGCTGCCTGCATTGGCAACGGTCCCAAATTATGTGATGCCAAGTAGAGCCGAAGAGGAGAGAGAGGCAGTAGGAAGAGAGAGAGAGAGAGCATTATATGAGACTCTATTCCTTTACATATACTCACTTACTGCCAAATAAAGAAGGAACTGCAAAAGAAGTCTTTTCCTTCATGGCTAACGGTGCTCTATCTATACTTAGTCTTAAAATAACTTAGCTTTATATCTCAGTCTAATAAAAATAACCTTTAAGCGCTTGCCAGACAGCAGCACATCATAATTATATCATAAAAATGATGATCTTAACTTTTTGTACAGGTTTTGTCTGTGTATCTTGATAATATAATTATTTGATAAGACAAGCGAATTCTTAATTTAGATTGCGAACTCGGACCTAAGAATGCAAATAAATGTTTACTGATTCGATTGCAATCCATTCTGTGGATTAGTCTTTCGAATTTGCCTAATTTTATATATTCTGAATCCATTAAAAGTAGTTATGAACTGATCTTGATCTGTCCGCCTGAGTAGCCATTCGTACGAAGAGACAGTAATCCGGGTATCTTACATGATAGAATAGAGATTAGAGTCTAGATAGACTCGACTAGCGAAGGATGACATTTTTCTGTTCTCTGAATTCATTTTATATCTCAGATCAATAAACAGTTACATTTTTTTTTTTATTATTTGAAATTTACACTTTGTACGTTTATAATTTTATAATTTTGTTTAGTAAAAAAAAAAAAAAAATACTTAGCCTTCGCATTGAAGCTACTTTAGAAACATTTCTAAATAGAATTTTTTAGTTAAAACATATAAATGAAAAGCAATTCAAAATTGTGCAATTTCAATAATCGGCGTTCATCTATAGGCCTTAACTGAGAACTCTATTCAAAATTGCATTGCAATCTGTTTTTAAAGCCGTTTCAATTTGAATTCAATTTTTTGACTTTTTCGATTGTGGTCCGGATTTGTCGCTCTTCACAAATTTTGTTGCTCTTCTTTTCTTCGATTTCCTCACAGGATCTTTGGTAGGTAGACGTGGCAATGTCACAGATTTTTTATCTTCCTTACAGCTTTCTGTCAAAGTCTTTTTGGAAATTTTTTGCTGTCCCGTTATAATACCGACAGCAACACGATTCCAATTCTCGATCTGCTTGTGTGACTCTATCTTGACGGTGCAGCAATCGGACAACAATAGCATATCCTCATTGCCAGTCACTGTTTCGTGTAGCGCTAGTTCCCGATTACAGTTGAGACACTTGCATGCCGCTCGACGTAGTCGAAACTTCATGGGAAACACACGACCCACATAGGTCTGAGAGTCCAAGCGAACGGCCTGCTTATGCGAGGGCTTGTCTCTTCTTAGCGAAGTTAGCTGCAAATTGGGAGTTAAATCAAACATCAACGGAACAAAATATCGATAGGTATATATGCAATCGATAGTGAGCTTACGAACAGGAGTCCCTTTGGGACAACTGGAAGGGAAACGATGTGTCATCTCAACAAGAAAAAGCTCGCTAAGAGAGCTTTTACATAGGAGAAAGTTTGTTCGACTAATTGCAATGATCGTTTTGTGCAGTTTCCACTCTATATTCAATGCCTACCTGCTTTGCCTGTACTGCTGCACCGCGTGGCCCGCATTCCATGCAGCAGGGGCCTGTAATCTTTGTACTTGAAATCTGAAAGGCTTCCCCTCCATGGTTGATGAATGAATCGGTTAGATCGGCTCGCCGTTTCACCGGCTTATCTGGGTCTACATATTTCCTAACCACATTCTCACATTCCATCAGTTGCACAAATTCGGGCTGGTCGTCATTTATGGACTCTGGACATCGCGCTGTTTCTGCATGTTGGCCAACGCCTTTTGCGTCGGTCCACACTCGACAACTGCTGCCAGCCATGTGGCATGTGCCATGGATGGGAAAACTTCAGATTTTACAAATTGATTACTAGGTGTTCAGATTATCAAAGCGCAGCTAACTGTGTATACTAAGGTCAGGATTCAATATAAACTCGATTCCAAAAATATATCAAGCAATAATGATTATTTGTTCTACGACAGAGACTGCTCACATCTCTTTTAATACCTAATCAGTCATCGTTAGGGTTGATTAATAAAAAGTATTTAATAGATTAAGTTTTATAATATAACATGAATAAGGAATATACACTCTCGATAACATAGTAAATATGGCATATGGTAACATTTATATATATGTTTTAAAGATATAGAAAAGAAAGATTTCCTATATTTATATAGGGAATATGACATCTTCTTTGCATGCTTGGAATACTAGTCTGGTCTAGTGTCCCTCATCGACTCGAACTTTTTGTATCACCGATTTGCATTCAGAGTTGCGATACACTCGATGATAATCTGTTATTTTGCCCAGCGATGAGATGAAATTCTCGTCGTGCGTAATTATGATGAGCATGAAATTCGATTGATGCTGGCGACTTTCGACGATGCGATTGAGGGCATCGCATAATGACATTATATTATCACGATCCAGATTCGTGGTGGGCTCATCCAAGGCCAGGACACCGCAGTTGCTGCTAAACGTCTCCGCCAGGGCCATGCGAATGATGAGTGAGCCCAGGACACGTTGTCCTGCACTGCATCGGCCACGCATATCGATCACGGAGTTATTCTTCGACTGGACCACACAATAGTTATAGTTCTTGCGCCGATCGGCCGCTGTATCACTTGGACTGTCATCGGTTTTGATTTGTATATAATCAATATCGTTGCCACGATAGATCATGCGCCAATACTCCCGTATCAAGCTGTTGATGTTATTCATTTTCTCCTTGTGAAACTCAATCAGCGCCCAATCCAAGGCCTGACGATGACGGCCCAGGTCTTCGATGCCACATTGCTTCACAGCCACCTCGAACTTGGCTCGCATATAGTTCTTCATAGACTCCTTATACCTCGGCTCAGCCATCTCTTTCTGGAGCTTATTCACTTGATTGTTAATTTCGCCCTGTTGCCCGAGCAGCTCGCCACGTCGCACGGTGGCCGCATCACGTTTCCTTATCAGCTCATTCTTCTCCTTTGTGACGCTGCGAAAATCGAGATTTCCCAATTGCTTTGCTAGCCTCTTACAATCTTCACTTAATGCGCTTTCCTTCAGCTGCAGCTGCTTTAACTCGCGATTGTCCTTTAGATCGCGCTCCAGAGCCTGTTGATCAAAGCATTTCTTCTTAATGGCTTCCAGTTCATCGTTCTTTTCGTTGATTTGTGTATCCTGGAATGTGGTTGGTTATAGACTCTACATATCAGTGGGTAAAATACTTATAGCTACCAAATTGCTAAGCTCCTCTTTGGTTGCATTGATAGAGGCATCGTATTTTTTGATGGCATTCACTAGATCCAGCTTGGCAAACTCCAGCGCCTGGGCGTTCAATCTGTAAAGAATATATTATATATATTTATAAGATAAGTATTTAACTGCTTGCCTTTGTATATCCTTATCGATGCTTTTGTATTCCATATATTTAGCCTGCAATTGCTCCAGCTTAACACGCTCAATTTCTTTCAAGCGCGCCTTCTCGCTCAAGGCTGCGCCCAGCCTCTGCTTGATCGGCTGCAGCTTTAATCGGAGCTCCGTTACCTCCGTGCCAATAGCAATGACCATGCGTGTTAGCTTGTCCAAACGTTCCTTTAATTGGGGTAGATTCTGCACGCCCTCCTGCAGATTTATACGTTTGTCCTTTAAGCTAAAATATGAGAAATTTAATAAATATATATATGTTTATATAGGCAACTAAATTCTACCCATTTAGAAATTCACGCAAGCGGCTCAGTGCCTCCACTTGCTGCTCGAATGCTTGCTGACTGGTCTCCAGCGCTTTGGACTCAGCCTCTAGCTCTCTGGACACCTCAGCCTTTTGCTTTTGCAAATCTTCTATGGAGACGCTGGCATCATAGTTCTCTGGCAACTTAAGCTGGAATTTAAATATATTACAATAAATAACTACATTAGGTATTTTATTGTTATTGTACTTTTAGCTGTTCCAGATCCTTTTTAACGCGCATAGATTCCTTCAGGGCCTCATCTAGCAGCGTCATATCGCCCAGCATCGAATTGGCCAAGTCCATATTGTGCGTCGGCTCGCCTAGTCGAGCCATTAGCGTCTCATATTCGCTGACTATGTCACCCAGACTTTGTTCAATGGTGCGCAGCTCCTCCCTCTTCTTGGGCAGCTTCTCCTTCAACTCCTTAACTTTGTCAATGGTTGGCTTGATCTGCAGTAGCTGCTCATACTTCGATTGCTCTGTCTTTAGGGATTTTTCGGTGCGGCTTATGTTGTCCGGCAACTTTTGTATTTCATCCGTCAGCTCGGTAGTCAAATCGCAGGCCTTAAGGGTCAATCGAGTATTAGATTAGTTAATGATAGCAATAAATATAGACGCACCTCATCCCCTGACATATTGTGATGACACAACGGACAGCTGGGCTCCTCATTTATTTTTTGTATATACCTGCACGATTAAAATCGAGATTAGATTATCGAAGTGCAGTTAGATTGCTTATCTTACTTCTTGTACATGGCCTCGGCAGACTTGAGTGCACCATGCTCCAGCTGTAGCTTGGTTATGTCTGTCTTGCTGCGCAGCAGCAGCTCATCATAGGGTTTGCCATGGCACTTTTGATAAATGCGCTCCTCAGAGTCCTGCACTTCCTTCTCCATGCGCGCGATTTCTTCAATTAGGTTTTTCCGCTTGATCTCATGTGATTGTTTCGCCAAATTTTTACCGTTGGCATCCACGTTTAACTCATCAATCTCTCGCCGTAGCTTATCGTATTCATTTTGCATGGCCCGACGATAATTGCTTGATATTGATTCTTTGAAAAACTTGCTCAGATTATCGGCGTGTTTGCTGCGCACACGTTGTACCTCATGGTTCTTCTTCTCCAGCTCTTTCTCTTTGAGTCCGATCTCAGTCTTCACATTAGCGATGGAGCTGAGGAATGTGAGCTGATCGTCGAGCTGCTTAAACTGCGCCTGTTTCTTGTCTCTGTTCGCCTTTTTGCTGGCT